CATCTCTTTGGCGCGAATCCGATCCCTCAGGGCTGCGAGTCGCACATGCCACGACCCTTGCCCTTCGGTTTCGAGCGGTCCAGGAGCTTCTGCGCCATCATCTCGAGGTGTCCGACAGACGCCGCCCCCAACTTGAGGCGACCTCCCAAATTGAACAATGCCTCGATCGGAGCCTGTTCGAGCAGCAACTTCGAAATCTCCGCCCCCTCGATCTGGAAACCGCCCGCAATGCCGAACTGGACGCGGCAGAAACTCAGGCCGCAACACTTCCGCGCCCTGAAATGACGAACAACCAAGCCCACGCCTTCCGCCGCTATGAGCACGTTGTAGAAATATGTAATCATTTGAAACGGTTCCAGCAGAGTCGTCGCCTCCTCGTCGCCCAGCAATGATCCGAACGCGGCTCGGGCGACGCGCATATGATGAGGAGGGCCCAGCTTCGACTTCCAAGCTTGAACCGCGGCCGCCCCCGCATACTTGCCGCCCGCCCCTTCGCGGGCCCCACCGTCGACATCTCAGCTGGGGCCACTTGAGATAGCCACCCCTACGCCGCCAGATTTCGACGCCGCCGGGCGCGCCGGCACGCGACGCCAACTTCAGAAGAATATTCACAGCCTGCTGGATGTCCTGTTCCTTCAAGGCCCCTTCCACTTCTGCCGGCTCGTCGTCTGCCGCGTCCGCGAGCCGACCTTTCCTGGGCCGAGGCCTCTCCCCCGGCGGGCGACGCGGCCCCTGCCTGCGCCCCTGCAGCGGGCGACCGAGGCCCGCGCCCGCGGCGGAGACGGCGCTTCGCCAACTGAGGTGGAGGTCGGGAACATTGCGAGCGAATGCGCACTTGGCCACAATGGGGATCGCGAGCCTGGAAAAGACAGACCGGGCAGAGCAAAGAGTCGGAGCGATAACCTCGGCCAGAGTGCGCGCACCCCTTCCAACTTCGCAACGGCATCGCCGGCGCGGCCTCGCGACGCGACGCCGCCCGTCCTCGCGCGAGCCCAGGGCCTGCAAGCAACGGATACACTGGTTCGTCACGGTCAACAAACTCGCCTCGCGCCTCACGGCACGCACCCTTCCCACCCGCAACAGCAGCTGCTTCGCGGAAACGAAACGCTCGCCACAGACGTCTCCGTCGACGCCCATGAGGTTGCAACGAAAGCGGCCCTCCCCCACCTCCTCATCAGACAGCGCGACGATCGAAGGGGGCGCGAACTCGGGGGGGCGGTGGACAACGAGAACACCTGGGCCCTGAGAACCGAGAAGTCGATATCCGACCAGTCGGAAAACTCCCGATCGCGGGGAAAAAAAAAAACCTAAACAGCGGATAAAGTTCACATGGGACTGGAGGTCCTGAACTACCTGCATGGCCCAGGGGTCGGCGTTCATCGGCAGATCCCAAGACGGCGTGATCGCCTCCCCGATACCGAGACACCCAAAGACACTGGCCCTTGCATGTCGGCGGGCATCGAAATACTTACAAGCCCACGCCCTTGCGCAGACGGTGGGATTCGCCAGCGCGCCCCGACACCCTCCGACGACCAACGACGAAGCTCATGCCCCCCATGCTCCGCGAGGACCAGAGATGCCCAATCCCCCCCCTGACCTGTTGTAAAAAATGATCAGCAGCACCATCAGAACTTGCGCCGGGAATCGTCGCCGCCATTCCAGGGAGAGGAGCGGGGCAAACGACAGCCATGACTGCCTTTCGCTTCGCACTCAAGATGGCCGCACGCCTTGGAAACAGAAAGGTCTGACACAGCCGAGCCCGCCCAGCCTGCGCGCGTTTCGCCTTTTCTACGCGCAGGGGGGCCCACTCGCAATGAGCCATCCCCCGAGCACCCAAGTGGATATCCCCAGCTTCCTCCTCTTCCTGATGGCCCCGCTGACGATGAGACAACGCTGCCCCATAAAGCATGGGCCCGCTTTTCAGGATTCAGCGAGACTCCGATCGCTGCTGAGGCCCGCTGCAAGCGCTCGCTACTTACGCGAGCCAAGGCGACGAGGCGACGTGCCTCGCCACCCCTCCGCTGCGGAGGCGGGCCAAGCCCAGGGACGACGCGCTCGGCGATGTCGCCCGCGAAGAGGGAGACGCCCACGTCGGTCTGGGAGCCGCGCACTTCAGTGATCGCGACCATTGAGTTCGAGGTCGCACGCTGACGAATCCCAAAAATAGCCTCCAAACCTCGCTGGTAGAAGCAAAGAAAACCACGTGCAGCGTTGGGATGACCCATGAAGTTGCCCGTCGTCGAACGGAGGCTGATCGTCTCCTGGTGCGATGATCTGGCAGGCGCCCCGGACGATGCGCCGGCCCTGAAACCTGGCGTCTACAGACAGGTAGAGCAGTGGAAGCGCGCCCAGCATGATGCCCCGAAAGACGCTCAAGAATGCGTTGGTGGCGTCCTCGATCACGATGACGCGAGAGAACCCTTGACGCTGCAGACACCAGGGAGTACAACACTGGGTCAGAAGAGCCCCTTCTTTCCGACGGCTTTCTGCAAACCCATGACACACGCATGGCAGAGCTTCCCTATGTCGTCGAGCTTTCCGCCATAAATGAGCGTTCCAAGATTTGCCCAGCGGGCAAAAAGATGGATCCACCTCTGACTCTCTGCGCCTGGCTTCCCACTGCGCTTGAACAGCCCCCAACGCGATGAAATGTCACAGACAAGTGAGCCCATGGACGCCCTCCGGAAGCACGGCGACAAATCGAGAATACGTTCGAGGAAGGCCGACGCCGAGGCGGGGCGAAGGTCAGCACCTAGACCCCCCCCCCCCTTGGAAAAGCACCCACGTTTCCTCGTCGATATGGAAAAGCCACACCGCGGAAGGGAGAGACCCGGAGGGCGCAACCCGCCGCCTCGGCGCTCCCCGCAGTTGCCTGAAGGCCCCGATCAGGCCAGCGCGCGCCTCGTCAAGGTTCTCGATCTGCACCGCGTTGTAGCGCACCTCGTCAATAACATCCCAACCGTCTATCAAATCGTTCACGAAGCTCAGACCGGAGGTCGCACACTTCTGCGCCGAGACCGCCAGCGTTCGAGGGTCGACGCAGAAAGTCGGAAATCTCACGTGCTTCACTGTTCTCCGACTTCAGGACAAAATACTTCCTGCGCCGAGGCCCTGCCCCTCGCTTGGACAACCGACCGATGAAGCGTTGAACATTGAAATGTCCGCGCGACTTACAAGCTTCGTTCAATTCGGTGGTCAGGACGGGTCCGCGTTCTTGATTGATACATAGAGACAGCCCTGTGACGCGGGCCAACGTGACTTCAACAGTCTCACGCGAAACCACTTCGACCTGCGATAAGTGCAAATCCGACTCCACCTCCATTAAGAGAAGATCCGATATCGAACCCTCGGGGGCCCCGATGGATCTGCCACATAGTAGTTTCCGAGCTCGAAGCAACTTAGAGCGTACCTGCTCCAGTCCAGACAGCTACCTCCTTCTCCCGAGCGGACTTCCTCGGAGTAAATAGCTCCCAGAGCTTCCGAACACGCAGTCCCCGAGGTTAGCGAGCACATGATTGTGTCAAAGTCCCAAGGAGGCGGGCGAGAGTCAAACTGCGCCTGGAAATCGTACTCCACCTCAACGTAAAGAGGCCTATGATCCCGATCGTCCAGAGTCGCGATCGGTTGCAGTTTCCGCCCAGCCCCACGTAAGATCGTACACTCGGACACATGCTGCCGCAGTTGCTGTGGAATCCGAACGAAATCGATCCTCGAAGCGGCGTCGCCTGCCCCGAAGAAGGTCGGACCCAGCGGCAGGAGGGTGTTCAGCGCGCACATCGTGGTATCAGTCATAAGTTGTCCGACTGCACTCCCTGCCGTCCCCTCGTAGTCCCTGTCACACGGGCCAATGCATAAACCTTCGTCCTCGTCGTCCTCCACGGGTATGGCTTCGCCTCCGTACACAAAATCACTAGCCCACCCACGTCCATGAGTCAAATCCATGCCAGGCGTACATCTCCAACCAATGGACAGTAACAGCTGGCGCAACAATGCCGTCAGTCTAAGAATTAAGCTCTGTTGCTCTGCACGTCCTGCACGCTGACTTGAAAAGACTGGAAGATACATCGTTTTGAAAAGGAGTTCAAGAGATCCAGACGTGAGGCGAACTGCGCCACATCGCCCCTCCAGGTCCACGGGCGGGGCGAAAATCTGATTGATAAAACGTCGGGGGGCACCTTTGTGGTGCAACACATAGTGCTCGTGCCACATGATTCGTTGGATGATGTCGTGAAGCCAAGGGAGATCTCGTAGTGACGAGTGGCGAAAGACTCGATGTGGGTCGCCGTCCCCTTTTCGCCGGCAGGTCCCCTGCAAGAGAACGGCGCCCACGTTCCCGGACTCCGTGGAGACGTCATCCCCGCGCACTCCCGTCAAGCGCATAGGACTGCGAGACACTGCACGCACACGGCCCACAGCTCTGGGAGCGGCCGCGCCTGCTGCTGTCGCCCTCGTAGCAGAGGCCGCCGTCGCACACGGCGGGAGGCCTGCGACGGCGGGGTGGCGCGGACCCGCCCTCTCTCACAGGGGAGCACAGGCCCCCGCACGGCGAGAGGGCACATCGCTGCCCCTGACAAGAGCGCCCTGGCAGTTTCGGTGGCCGCGAGCGCGTGCAGTTTGCGCCGTGATGGCGGCAGGAGGGAGGAGGAGGAGGAGGAGGAGGAGGAGGAGGAGGAGGAGGAGGAGGAGGAGGAGGAGGGAGGAGGAGGGAGGAAGAGGCGGAGGGAGGGAGGAAGAGAGGAGGAGGAGGAGGAGGAGGAGGAAGAGGAGGAGGAGGGAGGAGGATGAGGAGGGAGGAGGAGGCAGAAAGGCAGAAAGGCAGGAGGGAGGAGGGAGGAGGGAGGAGAGACAAGGGAGGAGGGAAGAGGAAAGAGGGAGGAGGAGGGAAGAGGAAAGAGGGAGGAGGGAAGAGGGAAGGGGGAGGGAGGAGGGAGGAGGGTTAGGCCCTTCCTCCTGGGGCCCTTCCCTGGCCTCCCGGCGCCGCTGCCCCCCAGCCCTGGAGCCTCGCTAGCGACGCCCTGCCCGGAGGCGCCGATCTCCTCCACGGAGAAGTCGAAGAACCTCACGCTCTCGCCTGCCACCGCGGGAGGGAGGGAGAGGGGAGGGAGGGAGAGGAGAAAGGAGGAGAGAGGAGGAGAAGAGGAAGAGGAGCAGCAGGAGGGAGAGGAGGGAGGGGTGAGGGACGGAGGAGGTGCAGGAGGATCAGAACGAGGAAGGGAAGGAGTGAGATAGAGGAGCAAGCGAGGAGGAGGAGAAGAGGATGAGTAAGGGAGGACGAGGAGGAGGAGGAGGAGGAGGAGGAGGAGGAGGAGGAGAAGGAGGGAGAGATGAGGGATGAGAGAAAAGATTGAGGATCGGGGATCTTGGACATGCTTGAACGTATTTTGGTCTCCTGGGGCATCCTCTGGGAATCTGTGAAGACCCCTGGAGACCTCCCTGATGGAATTGGCGGCGATTGGGGGGGAGGACGAGGAGGAAGAAGGAGGAGGGAGGAGGAGCGAGTGAATGAGTGATTGAGTGAATGAGTGGATGAGTGAATGAGTGAATGAATGAATGAATGAATGAATGAATAAGTGAGTGAATGAATGTATAGATGATGGGAGAGCGACTCGTCGAGAAAAAAATCGAAACGCAACCAGGGCTCCTGATAGGCCACCTCAGTCTGCCCGAACGATCTCTAACTATCGGCTCGGATCAGACTCGCTGTCATAAGACATTCGTGTTCGAGACGATTCTGCATATGACTAGCGCAAAGCCCACAGCTGCAGCAACGTCAAGCCTGAAGCCCCTTTACACGAGTGTATCCGACGTCTGTCGTGCGCCCAGCCCTCCGCGATGCGCAGTGTGCAGTCTTACCCCCAGGTGGCAAATCGGAAAGCATCCCGTCTAGATCTCTAGGAACGAAGCACGGGGACTGGCGCTACAAAGCTGGACGGGCAGGAGTGGAGGAACTACAACATGGGAAACCAGGGCGGCCACACTCAGCAGAACTGTGGCATGTGGTGAAAGAACCTGCCTCGGCGGCGAGCCTGGGGGGGAGTGAGAGGGGGCAGCTCTTCTTTCAGAAGGCTCGGAAATCCCCTGGGCGGAGCCCTCCGTGCCCCCCCAGAGATAGGGAGCCCACAAAGGACGTACGCGCCCAGCTATGTACATGAACACGGCCCCTCGATCCGTGAGACCAGCCGCGTTATACGAACATCTGCGCAATGTGCACTCTCGAAACCAACATGTACGTCCTTTTTCCGCTCCTGAAGAGAAGGTAAAACCCTTGCGACGGGCGCCTCTCGCGCCCGCTGCCCGCCCCCCCGCCGGCGCCCCCGGCCCGCGTCCCTGGCCGCGCCCGGCGGCGCGTTTGTGCACCGTCGGCTCCCGGGGGCCGCCGCTGTCTCCGGGAGCCGGGGCCGTCCAAGTGCAGCCCGAGGCGAGGAGGTGGTCCCTCGGGGATGGACAGACCTCCCTTCAGTAAAACGTGGTTTAGCGAAAACGACCTGAGGCCCAAACCTGGCGGGCGCAAGCCTGGAGAATAACGGCCACGGCGCCCTCTCGAGAACCGAAAACGGACAATTCACGAATCGACGTGTCACTGGAAGGGGGGTTCTGTCCACCCCCGAGTCCCGTGGAAGGGGTCCACAGGTCCGGGGCCCCACGGCGCGAAACAGCCGAGTCGCCGCTGGAGGTCTGGGTGCAACGGAGGAGGCGAAGGGAGGTGAGGAGCCTTCTGATTTCAGGAGCAGGGCCTCCCGCGGCATACAACCATCCTGCTCCTCCTCCTCCTCCGTACTCCCTTTGCCGCTCTCTTGCTCCTCTTTCTCCTCGTCGTCGCCCTCCCACTCCTCATAGAGTGCCCCGAACCCACACACAAGTGTCCGCTCAAGCCTGCCAGATCCTCCTGCTCTCCCGAGCACTCCTCGTCCTCCCGAATGTCATGCTGTTTCTCCATTTATCCTCCTTCTCCCCCCTCATTTCCAGATGATTCGTCGTCCTCCTCCTCCTCCTCCTCCTCCTCCTCCTCCTCCTCCTCCTCCTCATCATCATCATCATCATCATCATCATCATCACCACCACCACCACCACCACCACAACCACCATCATCATCATCATCATCATCATCATCATCATCATCATCATCATCATCATCATCATCATCATCATCATCATCATCATCATCATCATCATCATCATGGTCATCATCATCATCATCAGCAGCAGCATGAGCATCAGCATCAGCATCAGCATCAGCATCATCATCATCATCATCATCATCATCCTCATCCTCAGCAGCATCATCATCAACATCATCCTCATCATCATCATCATCAGCAGCATCAGCATCAGCATCATCATCATCATCAGCATCATCATCATTATCATCATCAGCATCATCATCATCAGCAGCATCAGCATCAGCATCATCATCAGCAGCATCATCATCACCATCCTCATCCTCATCATCATCATCAGCAGCAGCAGCGTCATCAGCATCCTCATCATCATCACCATCATCATCATCACAATCATCATCACGATCGCCATCATCATCATCATCAGCATCATCATCAGCATCATCATCATCACCACAACCACCATCATCATCATCATCATCATCACCATCATCATTATCATCATCATCAGCATCATCATCATCGTCGTCATCATCATCATCAGCAGCAGCATCATCATTAGCATCATCATCGTCGTCATCATCATCATCACCACCACCACCACCATCATCATCATCAGCATCATCATCATCATCCTCATCATCAGCATCAGCAGCATCATCATCAGCATCGACATCAGTACCATCATCATCAGTAGCAGCATCAGCGTCATTATCATCATCATCATAATCATCATCAGCATCAGCAGCATCATCATCAGCAGCACCGCCATCAGCATCATCATCATCATTATCAGCAGCCTCATCATCAGCAGCCTCATCATCAACATAAGCATCATCAGCAGCAGCATCATCATCAGCATCATCATCACCACCATCATCGTCAGCATCATAATCATTCCTTCCTCCCCCTCCTCCTCACGCCTCTACTCCTTCCATGCGCACGGACCCCGGGCCCAAGACGGGCCTGGCCAGGGGCGGTGTGTATAGGTCTCGTCGCCCCAGGAAGAAGAGAGGGAGGATCTCCCCCCTCATCGGGGGGGCCAAGGGCGCGCCGCAGGCGTCCATGTCGTCGACTCTGCACGGCCCCTGCCCGTCGGACCCCACGCCGTCCATCCACAGCATGTCGTTCGCGCTCCTCTCGCGGGGCCGTCGTCTTCGTTGCCACCGCCGCCGCCGCCGCCGCCGTCGCCGCCATCGTCGTCGTCGTCGCCTGTGCCGTCGTCGTCGTCCATGCTCGGGCAAACGGTGTGGCCGGTCAGCGGTGTGGTCTGGAGCAGGGTTTCTGCGGCAGTGTCATTCCGATGCGGGCACCGGCTGCACACGAGAAAGCGATTCACCCTGGAAACGCGGAAGCAGTTTCGCAGACCGACCTCGCCTGCAGCGTCGTATCGCACCACGCCGTTGCTGTCCGCACCCCGCCCCGATCCAAGAAACGACCTCCGGACCCCCAGAACTGTGACCCTCCTCGTCCTCACCTGACCCCTGTGCTGGAGACAGGGACGTCCACGGCCCAAACCTCTGGCTATCTCGGGCTCCCTGGGGTAGGGGTTGCGTCCTGTGGGATTCCTCGGCATCGGGTGGAAACAGGGTTCCTCATAGACCACCCCAACCCAACCCGAAGACCCGAATTCACCCGAAATTCGGGTTGGGGGGGATACCGGGTCCATGTGTTTTTACCATGTTCCCCCTACCCCCCCCAATGGAAATGAAGGGCAACTTGAAGCCTTCGGGTTGGGTTGGGGTGGTTTGGTGGGTGGTGACCTCTGGGGTTCCTCGGCATCGGGTGGAAACATGGTTCCTTCTGGGAAGACGAAAAGGTACCCGCAGGACGGAGTCGATGGGCTCACCTGGCCTTGTGGCCACAGGGTAGCTCCCAAACCTGGGTCTGCGGCTGGAGAGAAAGGGGGGGTCGCCTCCACGTAGCTCCCATCGGGGGCGCGCAAACATGGATTTGCGATCCATGGATTTGGCGCCCCTCAGCCGGTGCCGCCTCACTCGGCGGCGGAAATCCGCGATTTCCCTTGGTAGCGGGACCCGTCGCTAATCCATGCCCCCTTGATCCATGTTTGCGATCGTCTGATCCCAGACCCGGCTCAACCGAAAAACAATGGCTGAGCCCCGGTAGCGCTGACCCTCGTTCCGTGAGCCCCGATTCCTCCCACAGTCGGACCTAAGACAGAAGAAGATCCTTCACGAACATCAGACACTCCGCCGGCCCAAACTGAAGAACATTCAAGGGTGCCCTCCCCCACGATGCACAAGAGCATCCAACAAACGCGAAGAACAGTAGGGCACCCTCCCCGAACCGACCTCGATACTATACATCGGTCCAACCGTATTCTTCCTCCCGCCGGGCTCCAGTAGCTCAGGATAGGCGTCATGCCCTCCTTCAGCGCCTTCGTGAGCTCGGCCATGCCTTCGTAGCTGCCGATACGGACCGACAGGGGGCAGGTCTTCCCTTCTTGCGAAAGCGTCACCTCGCGGCAGTTGAGGGATCATCATCATCATCAGCATCATCATCATCATCATCATCATCATCATCATCATCATCATCATCAGCATCAGCATCAGCATCACCATCACCATCACCATCACCATCATCATCGTCATCGTCATCATCAGCATCATCAGCATCATCAGCATCATCAGCATCATCAGCATCATCAGCATCACCATCACCATCACCATCATCGTCATCGTCATCGTCATCATCAGAAGCAACATCCGCATCATCATCATCATCATCATCATCATCAGCAGCATCATCATCATCATCATCATCATCATCATCATCGTCAGCATCATCATCAGCATCATCATCATCACCACAACCACCACCATCATCATCATCACCACCATCATCATTATCAGCATCATCATCATCATCAGCATCAACATCAGCATCATCATCATCATCGTCGTCGTCATCATCATCATCAGCATGATCATCATCATCAGCATCATCATCAGCATCATCATCATCATCATCATCATCATCATCATCAGCATCATCATCATCGTCACCATCAGCAGCATCAGCAGCAGCAGCATCAGCATCATCCGCAGCTTCTCCCCCTCCTCCCCCTCCTCCCCCTCCTCCTCCTCCTCCTCCTCCTCCTCGTCCTCGTCCTCCTCATCATCCTTCTCCTCTGCCTCATCGTCCAGCTCACACCGCTCTCCATACATCCTCCCCTCCGTCGCTTCCCCTCCTCCTCCTCCGAGGCCAGAGGGCGCATTGGCGCGGCCTTGTGTGCCCTCTGGCGCCAGGCAGGATCCGCCTTCCCTTCGAGGAATGCGAGGGAGCTGACCCTTCCTTCGCAAGATGCGACTAAGACATGGCCAGGGCAGGGACACTCGGGATCTCTGAGATCCGGCGGCTCTGGAGGATGCATCGGGCGTCGCGACCGCTTCAAAGCGCTCCAACACGCTCTGAGAGCGTTCCGGGACTCTGGAGCGGTTAATCCCGATCCTAGGCATGCCTGATCAAAAAAGCTGGCTCTCGAGGCAGCCTGGGGCACACGTAATTGTGCTTCGAAATGCTCGTTTATATGTGCGGCGCGTGCGGTTGGAAGATCCCTGGGACTTTGTAAGGATGAGGTTGTCACTAAGCTGCTGCGGGACTCGAGCGTGCTTGCACCACTGCCTCGTTCACCAGATTCACCCTTCAGCCTCAGGGGCATTTCGTGGCAGACAATGAATCACCCTCCTCATCGTTCATCCTCCTCATTTTCCTTTTCGCCCCGCCTCGGCCACCTTCTTATCCTGCTACGCCTCCTCCTCCTCCTCCTCCTCCACCTCCTCCTACTCCTCCTACTCCTCCTTCTCCTCCTACTCCTCCTGCTCCTCCTCCTCCTCCTCCTCCTCTCCATCCCACTCCCTCAATCCTTCTTCGTCATCCTCGTCCTCCTCTTCCTCCTCCTCATCCTCCTCCACATCATCATCATCATCATCATCATCATCATCATCATCATCATCATCATCATCATCATCATCATCATCATCATCATCATCATCATCATCATCAGCATCAGCATCAGCATCATCATCATCAGCATCATAATCATCAGCAGCAGCAGCAGCATCAGCATCGTCGTCATCATCATTATTATCATCATCAGCAGCATCATCAACAACATCGTCAGCATCGTCATCATCATCATCATCATCATCATCATCATCATCATCATCATCATCATCCTCATCATCCTCATCATCCTCATCATCAGCATCATCAGCATCATCGGCATCATCAGCAGCATCAGCAGCATCATGATCATCATCGGTGCCAACAGTATCACCAACAACAACAATAACAACATACTACCAATAACACAAATACAATTACCAATCATTCGCTGGTCCAACGGGCCAGAGGCGTGCTAAGATCTCCGGTGACTGGTTCAGAGTTTTCTAGTTCGCGCGCGGGGGGCCGCCCATGGGGGTCCCTGGCCGAACAGTACCCCGACAATGTCCCGGCAGGGTCCCTGCAAGTGCGCCTCAGAAACGGCTTTGCTCCTGGGCGCCGCCTTCAGGGCCTCCCAGCAAGCCTCAAGAATGGTCAAGATGCCCCGAAGAGAACGCCATCACAATTTCAAAGGGCTCCGAGACGCCACAAGATCGCTCCAAGACGCCCATGATTGCCTCAAGACACCCCCCTGACGCCCCGAGAGCCCACAGAAGAAGCATTCCCAAGAAGGCCCCAAGGAGTAAAACCCATCGATGTTCATTGCATGATTCGATGATTTTCTGGTTCTGGCATTTTCAGCTTCTTGACGCTCCAAGAGCGGCCGAGAGGCCCACAATGTCGTCCCAAGACGACCCAAGAGGCCCCTGAGAACGCCCCGACACGGCCCAAGAGGCCGCCAAGAGGACCCCAAAACGGCCCCAGAGGGCCCCAAGATAGCCCAAGAGGCCCCCAAGACGGCCCAAGAGGCCCCCAAGACGGCTCCAGAGCGGGCGGACCCTAACGGGCGGCTCGGGTCGGGCTGGGCGGACCCTTCCCCTAGGCCTAGGGTTGGCCTTGGGAAGGCCCAGGGGAAGGGCCTAGGGGTAGGCCTAGCGAAGGCCTAGGGAAAGAGCCTAGGGGAAAAACCCAGGGGTAGGCCTAGGATAAGCCTGGGGGAAGAGCTGACGGGTAGACCTAGGGTAGGCCTGGGGGAAGGGCCTAGGGGAAGGGCTTAGGGGTAGGCCTAGGGAAGGCCTAGGGGGGAAGGGCCTGGGAGTAGGCCTAGAGAAGGCCTAGGGGAAGAGCCTCCGGATAGGCCTTGGGTAAACCTACGGGAAGGGCGTACGGGTAGGCCTAGGGTAGACCTAAGGGAAGGGCCTAGGGGTAGGCCTAGGGAAGGCCTTCCCTCCAGGTTCTATACGCTGACAGGGGACCCGAACAGACATTTCGAGATATCGGCCCCGAGAGGCCCCCAGAAAGGCTCCAAGAGGCCCCCAAGAGGCCCACGAGAGGCACCAAGAGGCCGCGAAGAGGCCCCCCAGAGGCCCCAGGAGGTCCCCCCCCCCCCCCCCTAAAAAAAACAATGCCCCCGAGAGGCCTCCCAAGAGACCCCAAGCAGCCTCCCAAAGAGGCGCCGTGTCCACGACCAGTTTGGCCCAAAAATGCCACAAGAAGTCATCGAGATCCCCCCTCTTCCTCCTCCTCGTCCTCTTCCTCCTCCTTTTCGCTCGTCACGAGCACACAAACATCTAGCACCAGTGATACAATAAGGGCCGGCGGAATAAGCGAAGCGATTAAACAATAATGATAGTCACAGTAAGGGCCGATGGGGCTGGGCGCCGCTCAGGCTTCTGCCCGTCCTCACTCCACTGCATCTGGCGCCAATGCACGGCGAGTCCTCGCACGGAGAAGGGCAGCCACTGCGTCCCAGTGGTCCCTGCGCAGCTCTCTCCGATCGACGCCTCCCAGACCCTGAGAGCCGCCGCACCCGCCTCCTCATCAGCCAAAGCGCTGCGCCGAATTAGGAAGTGGTCCAGGCTTTCAGCTCCAGACGGAGCAGCGTCCAAGTGGGATTGGGATCCACGTGGAGGCTAACTTCGGACTACCTGGCCTGGGCCCCCAACCGATTACAGCCCCAAAGGTCCTGCATGGTCCAAGTATTAGCCAAGTGTCGTCCCCGAGCCCAACCCTTCACCAAGGGCTGGTGATCACTAGCAAACAGGAGCGCCTGGGGCGCATACTCCAAAGCGAGAGCGAGCACCAGTAGCTCAGACCGAGGAACCGTTTGTCTCCTCCCCCTGGACAATCCCCAGGCACGCTTAAAGATCCATTGGCCGTCCGCCTGGAGCGTCATTCTGGCCGTACCGAATCGCCGATAGCGGGAGGAAGTAGGAGGAGCAGCTTCAGGGAGCGGGTGGAGGAAGAGGGAGAAATGGAGGAGAAGAGATGGCGGGGAGGAGGGAAGGCAAGAAGGTGAGTTGGAGGAGGCTGAGGAGACGCGGAGGCGAAGAACGGCTTCCCCCCGAAAATTCGGCCGCAAAAAGCTGCCTTGGAGCGCGTTCCGATTGATGTTCTGGAGCAAATCCAGCAGTGGCGACGAGGCCCCAGGAGGACCAAGCAGACCCCAAAAATGTCCCAGCAGAGCGTCCTCGGGCCTCGATGACCTCACAGCCATCGTGCCACCAGAAGGACCGCCGTTCTTTTTATACACGGCGTTTCGACATTGGGAGGAAGGGGGAGGGGGGGTCTGGCACTGGGCCTCTGCTTCATGGCGTCCGTTTGCAGCAGCGCGTCCAGTATGGGGGGAGGCTCCGCCTGCTCGAAGCGGGCGCCTAAAGACAGCCAAGATCCACTCCCAGGGGAGGGGGAGGGAGGGGTGCGAGGGCCCGCGCAGATCGGCAGAACAAGGAATCGAACAACGACCACCACCAGGAGCGAAGGTAGAGGAAAAAGAATGATGCACATGCACCGATCCTGGCCAGACCCATCCTGAGCCCATGATCGGTGCATACGCCCTCCTGCCTTGGCCAAGAAAGGCATATGCACCGATCCTGGGTCTAGGATGGACCTTGCCAGGATCGGTGCATGTGCATAGTTCTCTTCGCCCGGTCGGCGGAGGACAAACCTCCCTTTCGTAAACCTCCCTTCAGTGAAAACGGCCCGGGACCGAAACCGACGGACCGGGACCCGCAAAAACGACGGCCGCGACGCCCTCTCGCGAACCGAAAACGGCCAATTCCTTAATCAGCGTGTCAGGGTAGGAGGTCTGTGCTAGGGAGCCCACAAAAGACGTACGCGCCCAACTATGTGCATGAACACGGCCCCTCGATCCGTGAGACTGGCCGCGTTATACGAACATCTGCGCAATGTGAACTCTCGAAACCAGCGTGGATTCATGTACATGTACATCCTTTTTCCGCTCCTGATGTGCACCCCCCGAGAAGGGGCGCTCCCGGCCACGGCGGGCAGCAGGGCCCACGGCCCGAGGAAAAGCCGAGGAGCGGCCCGGACGCCCGAGCCCCCCCCCCGAGCCCAGAGCGGCCCGTGCTTCGGCGTCGCGGCGGCACTCTTGGGTCGGGCGTGTGCCCCCCTACGATTAATAAAAAATGGGAGAGAACGATCAAAAACATAGTTTTCTGATATTTCTGCATAATTTCCTGACTGGAGGAGAACGATTGAAAAAATAGTTCTCCAGCCCGCTGCAGGCGGACGTTGGGCGAACAAGCAAAAGTAGCCCAAAAAAGCAAGAAGGATGGAGACTGGTCGAAGCATCGTGCCCCGACTACTCTTTTGCACTCTTTTTGGGTGTTCCTCGTGTAGGGGGACAGGCCCGACTTGGCTGTGCTCCTGCCGACCAGCATCCCGCCAATTTGGGCCCCACCCCGGATCGACTTCCGGTGGTGCTGGGGCCCGCATCGGGCCCCTGGAGGGCGAAACCGAGCCACAGACTCGGGGGTCACGCCCTCGAGCCAGGCCCGGAGATCAGGCGTCTCGATGTGCTCAATTGCAGTTTCATGCGGGGCCCCCGGAAGTCTCGACCCTCTCCCCAGGAGCGGGCTTTTCATCCTGAGCCTTTTTTCCTTGACGCTCCCGGGGCCTGGCGAGGGCCTCCTCCACCACACCCACCACTGCGCCTAGTATCTGGAAGGACGCGTGGGCAGAAGAGTGCACGATTAGCGGCATCTCGTCAGAGAAACGCCTGGCACACCCGGCAGAGCGACTGCGTGCACAGAGAACCTCGACCGTGAAGCAGAAAAGCGGAGCGCAGTACGACTGCGAAGCAGAGGGCGAGGGCCTTCAGAGGCTGAAAACCCAGACCCCCCGACGTCGCGATTTCTTCACAACGTCGACCCCCAGAGGTCTGGACCCCTTCTATAGGATCGGTTTTTCATCCCGAGTCGTTTTTTGACGCTCCCGAGGCCCGGGAGGGGCCCCCAAAGGCCGAAAATACCTCCCGTCACGATTTTTTCCCGACGCGAGGGGGTTTGGGAACGGCGTTAAGAAAGCCTCCGATCTTGATCCTCGTCGATACGCTGGATCTCTGGGAGGGTGCCGTGGCGCCGCAGGGGGGCCGCCGCACCGCCAGCGCCCGGCCCCGGCGAAGGTTGGGAGGGTCGGAGGGAGGGGCGAGGAGGCAGGGGCCGCCGGGAGGCGCAGCGGAGGGTGCGTCTGTGGGCATCATTGTATGCAACGCGGCACAGGCACGAACACGACAGAGGGGGTGGACGAGAATGGGGGTTGCATACACATGTCTCGTCTGAGAGCCGCATTCCTGAGCAGATTGCGGGGATGTGCCAGATGGGGGACATGCTCTTGAATGCGCTGTGGACACCTCCGGATACGTCGCGGGAGCGTCACGAGCGGGAATTAGATCTTTTCTGCACACCATCAGGAAGCCGCTCTCGCGTGGAGATATATACGTGGACACATGTGCATACTACATAAATACATATATCGGGGGCGCGCAAACATGGATTGGCGCTCCATGGGTTTGGGGCGCGGTCACCAAATCCATGGATCGGGGGAGGCGCCCTCCCCAAAATGCGGCCGGTGCCGCCTCGCTCGGTGGCGGAAATCCGCGATTTCCCATGGAAACGGGAACCGTCGCTAATCCACGCCCCCTTAATCCCCGCCGAACGTAGTAACGAGGGATGCGCTCCAAAAAATCCAAAAAATACGTTTTCAACGTGGCAATTTCGTATAGGCTGGATTTGGACACGGATCGGCGCTTATCTTTACCTTCTGGTGGCTTGAGGACACGCGTGGACATCCTGCAGGCGCGGTTTACAGGGGAGGTAGGTTCGAAGAACTTCGGTGTAACGATTGTCCGAGAAAGCGCCACGAGCCACGCGCTGCCTTCGCACATCCTACCATACGAGACGACGATTGGGGGCATCCGCGCATTTGTAATGCTGACGATGCACGAACGTGCCGTACGGCACGTTCGTGCCGTGTCGATCACGGCGTTGGGTCCTGACACCGCGGGGATCGTTCAATCTTGAACGATCGGCAGATTCCGTAACATCCGATCGTTCAACATCGACCGATTCTGGGTTGCCGCAGGCGTTCAACGTGAAACGCCGGCGGCAGGTTCGCCGCCGGTCGACACGACGCGAACCAACCGTAGTGGAGGCCAGTCCACAAGAGACCTTCCACAGGAAAACCAACCCTGTGGCCCCAGGGCGTCCATGAATTTTGGTGTGGGAACGTCACGCTCTCCATGGCAAAAACTTCGAAACCCAGAGCACCCTGGAAGCAAGCAGGGTGTTTCTTGGCATGGGTCTCTACTGTAGGGGGAGGGGGTGGAAGGCTTCTTTAGAAGGAGGCTGGCTCGTAGAAGGCGCGGACCATACATCTTTAGAGAAGGCCCGCGCCTTCGTACGAGCAGGGTACTTCTGAGCAGCCTTCCTCCCTCCCCCTTACCCCCCTCTGCGCGTGGCCGAGGGTGGCGGTATCCGCACCCTGCGCCCACTAACCCTCGATTCTCCTGAATCCATGGGAGGCGGGGGTACCCAGAGATCCAACATCCAACGAATTAAAAAAAAACAAGACGAAAATTCTTCACTATTTTCGGCCTCTGGAGACCCTCGCCGGGCCCCCGACCGTCAAAAAACGACTCATGATGAAAAGCTGGTCCCTGGGAGAGGGTCGAGACTTCTGGGGACCCCGTGCTGAAAAGATCAAGGCGTCGGATCTCTGGGTAGGGCTCGGATCTCGCCGCGTGCTCGACGAATTCCGAAGCCTGCCCCCCCCCGCCCATCGAGTGACCCGAATCCTTGATCGGCGAGGGTCGGCTTCGGATCTCGCCGCAGATGATGAGGAGGAGGAGGAGGAGGAGGAGGAGGAGGAGGAGGAGGAGGAGGAGGAGGAGGAGGAGGAGGAGGAGGAGGAGGAGGAGGAGGAGGGGAGGAGGAGGAGGGAGAAGGAGAAGGAGGAGGAGCAGGAGCAGGAGGAGGAGGAGGAGGAGCAGGAGGAGGAGGAGGCGGAGGAGGAGCAGGAGGAGGAGCAGAAGGAGGAGGAGGAGGAGGAGGAGGAGGAGAAGGAGGAGCAGGAGGGGGAGGGGGCGGAGGGGGGGGGGGCGGCGGCCCGCGGTGGCCCCCGCGCGCCTCCATGGCGGCCAGGGTGCCCTGGCCGTCCACGGGGAAGGCGGCGAGCACCTCGAACGGCCTCGCCGTGTCCACGCACCTCGGCGCCCGGGCGGCCCGCGGAGCGGCGCGCGGCCCGCGGAGCAGCGGTGGGGAGCGGCGGGCGGCGGGCCGGGGCCCCCGCGCGACGCCTTGCTCACTTCGCAGCGTCGACCTCGGACGTCGGGCGCCGCGGAAAAGATCGAGACGGACTTTTGTTCATCGTTTCCGGCCCCTCGGGAGCCCTCGCCGGGCCTCGGGGCCGTCAACAAAACGACTCGGGGCGAAAACAGGCCCCGGGGAAGTGGTCGGGAGGTCGGGGGCCCGTGTCTCGAAAAGACCGAGACGTCAGATGTCTGGGGAGCCCCAGAGGTCTCGGCCCCTTCCTCAGGACCGGCTTCTCCTCCCGAGTCGTTGTCTGGACGGCCCTGGGGACCGGCGAGGGCCCCCGGAGGCCGAAAGGAGCGAAGAAGCCCTCCCGTCGTGATTTTTTTGTTGCTGTCCACGACTCGAGAGGGGTCCACGACTCGAGGTGGCCTGGCGGGGCAGCCTCGCTCGGGGAGGCCGCCCACCCTGAGCTCCGACGTTGCGAAGGAATTGCAACATCGTGAAGACCCACGACCGAAGCCACCTTTCTGCGTCATTTTTCGAGCAGGATCGATATGTGAGGGTCCCAGGGCCCGAAACTGGGCGAAAACGCCCGGGGTGAACAAAATTACAACGCCAGGATCTCGAAACAAGGGTTGGCGGCGCGCGCAAGCGGGTAGGGGGAGGGGAGAAGGCTTCTTAGAAGGAGGCTGCTTCTTATAAAGGCGCGGGCCTTACATCTACAGACAAGGCTCGTACCTTCTAAGCTTCTAAGCAGCAGGCACGCGTCTAAGAAGCCTTCCCCCCTCCCAGTACCCCTCTCTGCGCGTGGCCGAGGAAGGATGCCAAGCTAAACTTGGGAAGATGCTCATCCTGACTACGCTTGGGTCGGGCGTGTCCCCCTACAGGCGGATTTTGGACGAAAAATATGTTTGATAATAACATATATATATATATATCGGAGGTGAGGGGGTGAGATCGAAGTGGAACGGAGAGCCCCCCTACCGGGAAATCGATTTCGGTTTCGTGTTCGTGCGTGCCGTGCGGGCGAGGCGAAGCTGCGTGGGCGGGCGAGAGACAGTGTCCTGTGGCTGAGGCGCGGCCGGACCAAATGTCTCCCTTCCGGGCGGCCGGGGGCCCGCGGTGTCCCGCCGGTGTCCCGCCGGTGTCCCGTGTGGCTGAGGCGCGGCCGGACCAAATGACTCCCTTCCGGGCGGCCGGGGGCCCGCGGTGTCCCGCCGGTGTCCCGCTGGTGTCCCGTGTGGCTGAGGCGCGGCCGGACGAAATGATTCCCTTCCGGGCGGCCGGGGGCCCGCGGTGTCCCGCCCGTGTCCCGTCGGTGCCCCGTCGGTGTCCCGATGATGATGATGATGATGTTGATGATGATGATGATGATGATGATGATGATGATGATGATGATGATGATGATGATGATGATGATGATGATGATGATGATGGTGATGATGATGATGATGATGATGATGATGATGATGATGATGATGATGATGGTGTTGATGGTGTCCCGATGATGCTGTTGATGGTGATGCGGATCGATTGTGAGATCGATAGTGAGGTCGAATGTGAGATCGATAGTGAGATCGATAGTGATATCGGTTGTGAGATCGAACGTGAAACCGAACGTCAGATCGATTGTGAGATCGGTTGTGATATCGATAGTGAGATCGATAGTGGTATCGGTAGTGAGATCGATTGTGAGACAGAATGGGAGATCGTTTGTGATATCGATGGTGATATCGATAGTGAGACAAATAGTGAGACCGAATGTGAGATCGATTGTGGGATCTATTGTGAGATCGATTGTGAGATCGATAGTCAGATCGATTGTGAGATCGATCGATTGAGATCGATAATGAGATCGATAGTGCGTTCGATAGTGAGATCGATGATGAGACCGAATGTGAGATCGATTGTGAGATCGGTTGTGATATCGATAGTGAGATCGATAGTCAGACCGAATGTGAGATCGATAATGATATCGAAAGTGCGTTCGATAGTGAGATCGATAGTGAGATCGATAATGCGATCGATAGTGAGTTGATAGTGAGATCGATAGTCAGATCGAATGTGAGATCGATTGTGAGATCGATTGTTGTATCGATTGTGAGATCAATAGCGAGACCGAATGTGAGATCGATTGTGAGATCGATAGTGACATCGATAGTCCGACCGATTGTGAGATCGATCGGTTGAGATCGAAGGTGGGATTGGTAGTGAGTTCGATAGTGAGAGATCGATCGAGTGCGACGTTGGTCCCTCCCCCCCACTCACCTCCTTATCACCCGAAGGGTGGTCGTATAGGTACATATAAGTCGCTTTTATACAAAAAAACCAGACCATTCTTTTACTAACTTTGAATACTCCCCCTGTAGAGGCACGTGCCCGACTTAGGGCGACGAAATCTATACATATCCACTGCTCCCTGGCCAGGCCCATCCTCAACCCCGCAGCGGTGTATACGCCACGCCCTCCTGGCTTGGCCAGGAGGGCGCATACACAGCTCCTGGGTTCAAGATGGGCATGGTCAGGGAGCAGTGGATATGTATAGATTTCGTCGCCCGACGACGGAAGACTGCGCGGGCTGCATGGGCGGGGCGGGCGCATCGCCCCGGCGGGCCCAAAGGGGAGGGGCAGGCCGGGACGGGAGGCCGGCCCCTGGGGCCCGAGGCGGGTCGTCGAAGTGGGGCGGGTCGCGGGGGGTCGTCGAGGGGGGGGTCGTCGAGAGGGGGGGTGGTCGAGGGGGGTCGTCGAGGGGGGGTCGTCGACGGGGGTCGCTTAAAGGGGGTCGTCGAAGGGGGTCGTCGAGGGGGGTCGAGGGGGGTCGAGGGGGGTCGTCGAGGGGGGTCGTCGAGGGGGGTCGTCGAGGGAGGCGGTCGATGATGGGGGTCGAGGGGGGAAGAAGGGGAGGGGAGCTCGGCTTTGAGCGGCGTCGGCCCGTTCCTGGCTGTGGATGCATCCAGGGAGGAGGCTGTTGTTGATGTTCTTGTTGTTGTTGTTGTTGTCGTTGCTGTCGCTGGTGTTGCTGTTACAGGTATTGTTAATGTTGTTGTTGGTGGTGGTGGTGTTGTTGGCCTGTAGCTGGAGTAGTTGTTGGTGTTGATGTTGATGCTGATGCTGATGTTGTCGTTGTAGTCAGAGGCGTAGTCGTAGTTGTAGTGATAGTTGCAGTTGCGGTTGCAGGTGTGTTTGTTTATGGTGGTGTTAGTAATGTTGGTGTTGGTGTTGTTGTTGGTGTTGGCGGTGGTGGTGGTGGTGGTAGTGATGGCGGTGTTGGTGTTGGTGTTGTTGGTGGTGCTGATGATGCTGTTGGTGTTGGTGTTGGTGTTGATGATGATGTTGTTGGTGTTGCTGATGTTGTTGTTGTGGGTGGTGTTGCTGGTGTTGTTGTTGCTGCGGCTGTTGCTGTTGCTGCTATTAGTGGTGGTGGTGGTGGTGGTGTTGTCGATGGTGTTATGGTGTTGATGATGATGATGATGATGCCATTGTTGGTGGTGGTGTTGCTGGTGCTGAGATTGTAGTTGTTGTGTTTGGTGTTGTTGTTGCCGTTGTCGGTGTTGTTGTTGGTGGTGGTGGTGCTGTCGTTGGTGTTGGTGTTGGTGTTGTTGCTGTTGTTTGATGTTGCTGTTGGTGTTGTTGTTTGTTGTTGTTGTTGTTGTTGTTGCGGGTCGGTATGAGGCCAGCTGCAGATGCACCGACAAAGAGTCTGAACCCAGCGAGTCCGATCCCGAGTCTTCCCCGAGAGCAGCAGAGGACAAACTTTCTACACGCGCGAGAAGGACAGCCCGTGGCTTGGAGATAGGGGAGGAGCAGCTGGGGAGGGGGAGCACGAGGTGGGAGCAGTCACAAAACCACCAGTGCCTGGACCACGTCGAAAATCAGCAAGCACATAAGCAGCCGCAGGGGGCGCGCGTTCCACCAGGCCTCGAATCAGGAGGAGGCGGGGTACCCGCAGGAGGACGAGGTGTAGGAAGGAAGGAAGGAAAGCGCGGGGGAAAAAGAGAAGCAGGAGAAGGAAGGAGCAAAGAAGGATGCAACGATGTGCTTCTCGACAGCCCCATGGCCAATCATGGCGGGGTGGCGAGGGAGGAGTGGAGGAAGACCCCAAGACCTGGCTTGGAGCAGATTCTGCTCAAAGCTTCTGGACGCGCCACCGAGGGGCCCCGACAACATATTCAACACGCCCAAGACCCTCGATCCTCGAGCCCTGACCCGACGACGACGACGACGACGACGACGACGACGACAACGGCGGCGAGACGAGACGAGACGAGGGCGGAGACGGGGACGAGGACGACGAAGGTGACGACGAAGATGGTAAACTGGCCAACGGCCTGAAGGCGAAGCTCACCGCCACAACCAACACGGAGATCATCCAGACTCGGAGCCGCTTAGGGGCTCCGAGTCGGAGCCCAGACTCGCCTGGCTCGCTGGCGAACGCGTCGCCCGCGCCCTCGCCCCAAGGGCAAATCAGATTCTGAGACAGCGGCGGGTCCCAGTCCCGACAGCATATGAGAACGTCCACAAGAAGTTGATCCTCGAACCTCGATCCGACGACGACGACGACGACGACGGCGACGACGACGACGACGACGACGACGACGACGACGACGACTACGACGACTACAGCGAGAATCAGACGCGGAAGACGACGACGACGATGACGACGACAGCAAGAATCAGACGCGGACGCTGACGACGACGACGAAGATGACGATCGCGGCGGGAATCGGCATCGTCCGACCTATCCCCATCTCCACCGGGAAAGCCTTGGCCCCGCTGTCCGGCCTAACCCTCCAGTGGGGACAGATGCCCCTTCCGCCAAGCTTCTCTCGCAGCGAATCTCTTCCCCCCCTGCGGGGGGGGGCAGCCTAACGGCGCCACGGTGCCCTGGCCCAGTGGGGGACAGGGAAAAGACGAAGCCAGGACGAGGAAAAAACCGGGTGGGGATGAATCGAGAATCTCTGAGATCCGGCGGCTCTGGGGGATGTCTCGGGTGCCGCGGCCTTCTCAGAGCGTTCCAGACCGCTCTGAGAGAGAGCGTTCCGGAACGCCCTGCAACGGATTCATCCTCGCCCCAGCCCCGCCCGACCCTGGAACAGTGGGGGACAGGGATGAGGACAACGACGACAAACATCCTAAAAAATCACGGCTGTAGCCTTAGACCACATCTTGCTGCGCCCGCCATGTTTCGAGCTGGATCGAGATGTGGGGGCCCTGAGGTTCCGAAACCAAGAGGTTACGAGCGGGTCGAAAAAAATAGCCTGGAGAAGGACCCAACCATATGCAGCTGTGGGTGCCGCTGCTGTGAACATCGACTTCGGTGGCGCTCTTTGTGGGGCCACGAAACGTGTTAGGGGTGTGCCGAGATGTGTGGCGCGGGCGCATGCGGGCTGCGCAGCTGAAATCTTCGGTGGAGTTCCCTGTGGGACCACGAAACGTGTGAGAGGTGTGCCGACATGGGTGGCGCGGACGCATGCGGGCTGCACTGGTGGGACCTTCGGTGGAGCTCCCTGTGGGGCCACGAAACGTGTCTGGTGTGTGCCGACATGGGTGGCGCGGACGCATGCGGGCTGCGCCGCTGAAGACTTCGGTGGAGTTCCCTGTGGGGCCACCAAACTTGAGGGGGGGGGCCGAGGGGACCGAAATGGGCGGCGCGGACGCATGCGGGCTGCTCCGCTGGGACCTTTGGTGGAGCTCCCTATGGGGCCACGAAACGTGTCAGGGGTATGCCGAAATGGGTGGCGCGGGCGCATGCGGGCTGCTCCGCTGGGACCTTCGGTGGAGATCCCTGTGGGGCCACGAAGCGTGTGAGGGGTAGGCCGACATGGGTGGCGCGGGCGCATGCGGGCTGCGCCGCTGGGGCTTTGGGTGGAGCTCCCTATGGGGCCACGAAACGTGTGAGGGGCAGAGGGCAGAGGCAAAGAACAGGATGAGGAAGGAAGAACAGGAAGAGGAGGAGGAGGAGGAGGAGGAGGAGGAGGAGGAGGAGAGGGCAGCGGGAGGAGAAGGGAGACGCGGGGCGCTGTCTCTTCAAAAAGGGGACTCAGCACCACAGGATGGCTGGGAATTGGGGCGCCAGGATCTCAGGAAATGTGACGAGGACGAAGGCGACGACGAATACGACGACGACGACCACGACGAAGACGACGACGACGACGACGACGACGACGACGACGACGACGACGACTGCGGCGGCGGCTGCGGCGGCGGCGGCTGCGGCGGCAAGGGCAGCGGCAATTTGGGAGCGGCGGCGCACTGGGCCCCCTTGCCGTAGTCCGCGGGTCCCCAGTCGCGGGGGCCGTCCCAGCTGTCGCCGCCGCCGTAGCCGCCGCCGACGCCGCTGTGGTCCTTGGAACGGGATGGGAGGTGAAGGACGAGGAGGAGAAGGATGAGGATGAGGATGAGGAAGAAGAGATGATGAGGATGAGGAAGAAGAGAGGAGGAGGAGGAGGAGGAGGAAGGAGGAGGAGGAGGAGGAGGTGCATCCATCGAAAGAGAAGCAGTAACGATTGGGATCGGAGGCCGCTGCCGTGGGGGGAAGAGGATGAAGGAGGAGGTAGGAGGGACGAGGTTCTTAGATTGCGGCGCTGATGAAGCCAATGGCCTGTCGGCAGAACGCGGTGCTGCAATTGGTGGAATAGGCTAAAGACTAGATGGTCCTGTGCGGGCACCAAATCAACAAGTACAATACAGAAAAACAACAAAAAAAACGTACGGGACAGGGCGAGAGTGCACATCAGAGAAAGCGAGACAGCAGCAATAGCGGTTCTGGTGTAAATCTGGCAAGGCATCCCTGACCCAAAGGAGAGGGCCACGCCCATTAGACACATGTACCTGAAGGTGCGGAGATATTGTCGGCCACGGATGCGGCACGCAGACGAGTCGGCGGCGGCACAAACCCAATTTTCGCACTACGACGGCGGGAAGAGGGAGGTGTTTAGTCAACCTCTCCCCATGTCATGCAGCCAAAATGGCGTGATATGGGGAAACCTCCGGCCGATGTCCACCGAGAGATGCAGGCGGCACGGCCAATAGAAAGCAGAGCGGGACGGGGCGGCTGAGGAAGTAGGGGCGGGCTGGAAGAGGCAGCAGGGAGAGCTCCGTCCCGACCCCGCCCAACCTACATACCTCCTACTCCTCCCCATTCCTGTAGTCGGACTTGATTGGAGAGGACACGCGAGATGACACGAGACCCTGTGCGGGCGCCACATCGCCGTTGTATGTAGGAGGCATGGGTCGCGAGACGCAGGACACCAGGGTCAGGTCGGGCATGTGCGCAGCTGGGCGGGGCGGGCACAAAAAAGGCCATGGGAGGTCCGGCTCGTCACCACCCGTTGACTCACGCCTCCTCGGAGCTCGCGCTCGACGGCCACCTGTCACAGATCCTGCTGCGACGCGACTGCCGCGTCGCCCATGCACTGCAAGGCGGGGCCTTGCGCAGCCCGCATCTGTCGCGCGCCGGCCGCTGTCAGATGCCATGCCAGGCCGAAGGGCGCCGCGCGAGCAGGCCCTGCTGGCATCGGCACGCGCGCGCCTACAACGCTCGATCGAAAAAAACGGCTCCGAAACAGGTATCGGCAATACAAAGAGCGATGGCGCGTACACGCTGTGCTCTCTCTCGCGCGCGAGCCGCCATCCTCATCAGCAGCAGCATCAGCACCACCACCACCACCATCACCATCACCATCATCATCATCATCATAAGCATCATCATCATCCTCCCCCTCCTCCTCCTCAGCAGCAGCAGCATCATCCTCATCCTCATCCTCATCCTCATCCTCCTCATCATCATCATCATCATCATCATCATCATCATCATCATCACCATCACCATCACCATCACCATCATCATCATCATCATCATCATCATCATCATCATCATCATCATCATCATCATCATCATCATCATCTCCAGCATCATCACCATCACCATCATCAACATCACCACCACCAGCAGCACCACCACCACCATCATCCACATCATCACCACCATCACCAGCACCACCACCACTCTCACCACAACCACCATCATCATCAACATCGTCATCATCATCAGCAACATCATCATCGTCATCATCACCGTCATCATAAGCATCATCATCATCACCACAACCCCCATCAGCATCATCATCAGCAGCAGCATCAGCATCAGTATCAGCATCAGCATCATCATCATCGGCAGCAGCATCATCATCATCATCATCAGCAGCATCATCAGCAACATCATCATCATGGGCCGTGCGTTCTCTGTGCTTCGACCTCATGCTCGTCCTTCTCTTCTGCCTCCGCCTCCCTCCCTTCAGCCCTCTATCCTGGCCCATCCTCGTCGTCCTCTATTCTTCCTTCCGTTACCTCCTCCTCCTCCTCCTCACCTCCCCCTCCACCTCCTTCTCCACAGGGAGGAGATTGTGCACCCGCAGGGTCCTGGGCAGTGTGCAGCGTGGAGTGCCACGCGAGCTGGTTGGCCTCCTGGCGGGGATTCGGTGAGGGAGGAGAGCAGGGGAGAGCGAGGGAATGGGATGACGATGACGACGACGAGGAGGGACGAGGAGGAGGAGGGGGACTAGGCAGGCCAAGTCTCGCCAATAGCATCCCACTGTGGCCCGACTCTCAAACCAGCGTACCGTGGACACCCAACCTGGAATCTCCCTTCGGAAGCCCTGTCGATTTGCCCCTCCGAAGCAGAAGTAAGGGCCTTTCCACGGCAGAGCTTAACTAGATTCTGGACTCCCCGCGCGCAACCAAGACGGAGAACCCATCTGCCTGGAGGGCTGGGGCCATCCTGATGGTGCGCCCCTGTAGCTGCACAAGCATACCTAATCCAGAATCGGCCTGAGGGGGAAACCACCAAAAGCAAAGCTGGGCCCTACTGCCGACAAACCGTGCTGTGACACTGCTGTGCGTGCCAGGAGGATGGGGGCTTTGGAGGGGGAGGCATACAGCGGAAGCTCACTGGCACCCTTCCGCTCCCGATCCGCTCGCGGCGTTTCCTTACTTAGGCAAACCGCTGGGCGCACGCACCCGTGGCGTCGGTCCGGCGTTTCCTACAGGTCCACTTTGGCCCGCCTCGGCAGCCATCAGCCGGAGCCCATCCAGCTCCCAGGCCGCTGCGGCCGTGGTATCACCGAGCACTCCGCTTCGCAAACGCATCGGCGGTACCCTTCACGTCGCACTCCCAGGCCGTCGCACGGCCTGCCACTGCATCAGTCTGCGTGCAGTGCAGCCCACACCCTGTCCGAGCATGCTGCCATCATCGAACATATGCCGCACACGCTGCCGAGGATGCGCTCTCCTGCAGCGCGGCGAACAATTGAACCGCAAATCGCATATAATCCTTAGCATATTATGAAGTCTGCTCCAGACACTTCTCGATGGGGACCGCCCCAATCGCAGCAGCAACCACGAGCCGACCAAGGTCGACCATGACCCAAGCCCATCCCGCCCGCCCGAAGACCGGCTGGGTGGGGAAACGAAAAATCAGAGAAAACCGTGCCAGACAGCCAACCGCGGACTGGCCGATTATCGCAGTGCGCTCCCGCTTCCGATGACAGCAAGGACGGTCGAGCCATTTCCCGTGGAATTGATGGGACTTCAAGCCTCCCAAACGGAGTCCGAGTAGGGTCGAAGGATTGCGCCGCATTGCCGATGCATCGCCCACGTCGGCAATGTATCGGCGACGTCATCGGCACGGAGAAAACAGGGCTCCACGTTGAACCGCATCGTCGACGTATTGGCGATGTGGCGCGACCCTGTTGGCCCCATCTACTCGGACTCCATTTGGAAGCTTGCCATCTACTCGGGTTCCGCAGGCGAACTTGCGGGGCCCTGACCTGACTGGCTCGCCACGCAAGCTGCGCATGGCAAGGGGGGAGCTCTGCCCACTGCCTGCCCCCCCCCCCCCCCAGGGCGCAGCAGCAGCAACCGTGGGGGCGTGATCTCCCCCAGGTGCGCCGAAACTCTGACATCATCATTCAATCTAGACACACAGATATATAATAATATTAATAATAATAATAATACTAATAATAATAATGATAATGATCATAATATAATTATAATAATAATACTAATGACAAAAACAATAATAATAACAACAACAACAAGAATAATATGTAGGAAACAAAGTATATATCAGTGAATTGAGTGAAGATTGTTGTGCATGCGCTGTTGTAACATTTGTGTACTGTGGAGAGCCAGTGTTGGCTCAGTTCATGCTGAGGTGGAAAATAAATTTCACCAGCCCTGCCGGGCAAGGTCCGTGGACCCCAGCTCCGCTACCCGAAGTTATCAAGATAACATACATTTATTCTTTCAGTACTTGCATGGTAGCGTGATTGGCTTCGTATCCAGATGGCTGGTCTTGTAGATGCGCGCCTGTTGGGACGACCGAACAAATATTCAGGCACTCGTGATGAGTTTCCGACTTTCAGATATCAGCTGATCAGCTACCTTGGCGCAATCAACCCGAGGTTGGCATCAGCGGTCACGACGGCAGCTAGTCATGGCACGGTCATCACGTTGGCCGAGACGGGAGACGACAACAAGCAGTATGCAGCGACGATGGGATACATTCTGTCTCAGATGTTGGGCGGCAGCGCGCTCACCTTGGCGATGAATTGTGAGCAGGGAAATGGGTTGGAGCAGTGGCGACGACTACGCATGCGAGAAGATGCGGCGACAAGCTCCAACAAGGTGACGCAGCTGCAGCTCTTGGTGAACACGGAGTTGTCAGGCAAGTGGGAGACCAACGTCGAGGAGCTCGCGAAGTTTCTGTTGGATGCCAATCGGCATCAGGAGAAGTTCAGTGGGCGGATCTCGGACACCCTCCAGGCTATGATTAAAAAGAACACGCCCGAGCCGCCCAGGACACAGGTGATGATGCAAACTTTCACGACTTATCAGACTCTGCGTGAGACCTGCGAGTCCTTCGCTCAGCAGATGAGCCAGCGAGACACGAAGACGGCCCAGAAGAAGCTCGACCCCAACGCCATGGACGTAGACGCCTTCGGCAAAGCCGGCAAGGGCGACTCCAAGGGAAAGGGCCACGGCAGGTCGGACATGAAGGGCGGCAATGCAGGTGGCCAAAAGGGCGCAGGGGGCCGAGGCGGCAAAAGCGACGGCAAAGGCAAGACCAAGAGTAAGAAGGGCGAGGTGAAATTCTTCGACGGATGGCGCTCTAACCCACACTGCGGTAAGTATGGACACAAGATGGCGGATTGCAGGAAGTACGGTGGCGGCGCCTACCAGCCTGGAGGAGGTCAACGATCCGTGTCGGAGGTCCAGCCAAGATCTTCACAACCACCTGGATCGGGCACCGCAAGTACGGTCCATCCAGGCGACTCAGCATCACAGATGTCAGCACCTACGCAGGGCACGACACGCGTGCGTGGACGGGTGCAGGCAGCAGTATTACCAGAGGATGAAGCGGGTTGGGTCTTTGCGTTCACGGGCGACCACGACTGGGGCGAATGCGAGATGCTCGTCGACAGTGGAGCTCATACTCATGTCGTGCCAAAGACTATGACGGAGGGATGCGAACTCACGGGCGAGCCAGGTCAGTCTTTGCGATCGATTACTGGAAAGGGTACACGGACATGGGATAAGCGCACGTTGACGGGAGAAGTTTTCGATTCGAATACGACGATCAGTGCGAGGCTCAACGTTGCGCCAGCTGAAGTCCGTAGAGGTGCTCTCTCGGTCGCTGAGATGAGCGATGCAGATTACTCAGTGCACTTTGACCCTAACGGAGCCAAGATGTTCAGAAGCAACAAGAATGTGCAGCATGAGATTGACAAAGCGCTGGAGACTACTGTTTCACTCCAGCTACGTCGGAAGGTGAATGCGTTTCTTCTTCCACTGAGGTTCAAGGATTCGACGGGCGACGAGTCCATCATCGGGGACGCCGACGAGCAGCCCGAGACGGAGGACGCGCAGATGAAGGAGGAGTCCGTCGAGAAGGAGCCTGCCGAGATGCAGGTCAGCAGTGGAGCGGCTAGTTCACGCGATGGCCCACGCGGCGCCGCTGGTGGGGCCCGGGATTCGCTAGGGGCGCCCGCCGCGCCTGGTCTCAAGAGGCCAGTTCAAGTGTTAGGAGAACTTGCCAGAGCGCACATTCGGAGAGGTCACGCACCTATCGAGGCTTGGTGTCGGGGGCACATGACGGGAAGGGGGCAAGAAGACCCTCGCCGCGCAAGATATCCCAACGCATCGGCTACTCCAGTTGCCCCATTTGACTATGGGTGTCCCAGTCTTGGCGAAGATGGAGCCGGTCACAAACTCACCCTGGCGGTGGGCAAGGACCGAAGGACTGGCTATCTCATGGGAGTTGTTGTCGGGGCGAAAGGGAAGCAGAGCTACGCCATAGCAGCCATCAGCGGGTTCTTGGACGAGCTGGGTTACATGAGCATGGAGGTGCAGTTGGACGGCGAACCTGCACTGGAGGCGCTCATGAATGGAGTTGTTTCTGAGCGTATCAAGAAGCTTGACAAGGAAGCGGCAGAGGCTCAACTCCGAATTCGGCTGAAAGGAAGCCATGCGTCCCAAGGAGGAGCTAAGAGTGGAGTCAAGTCTGTAGCAGGTCTAGCCAGGACTGGGCGTTTGGCTCTGGAGAAACGTCACAGCATGAAGTTCACGGAGGATGTTCCCGTCATTCCCTGGATGATACGTCATCAGATATTCTGCAACAACAGATACCAGCAGAGGAGGAGCAGCGGTCGCACATCTTTTGAAGAGTTGAGATTGGCACCGCACACATCACCCATGCTGGAGTTCGGGGAGGCGGCGATCGGCAAGGAGCACACCGAGCTGCAGGACATGCTGGGCACGGCCTGGCGCAGAGGGATGCGGCTTGGACGCAGTGCGAAAAGCGACGCTCACATTATATGTGCAGCGACTGGGATAGTTCAAGCCAGGACGGTGAAGCAGCTTACGAAGGAAAAGAGTTTCGACATGGAGATTCTCAGAGCTATGCGGTGGACGCCGTGGAAGACCTCGGTGAAGGCGGGAGTCTATGACGGCAAGAACTGGCAGCCAACGGAGGGATGTCCTGGGTGTGAGTACGCAGCAAAGGGTCAGCACGGACGTGGTCGACCACCACACCACAGCAGGACATGCCAGCAGCGCCGGGCTGAGTATGAGAAGACTGTTGCCAGCAAGACCGAGGATCAGCCGAAGGTTGTCGCGGTCCCAGTGCCCGCGATCAGCCCCGAGGCAGGCCGTGGCAATCAACAAGCACCAGCAGGGCCAGAGCCAGCATCATGCCGAGATCCAGTTTCGGAGGTTCGGCAGCAGGTGCATAGGATCGAGAGGGGGCTTCGTGGCAAGCAGGAGGCTCCTACCCCGGGATCGTCTAGCAAACGGGGAGCTGATGGCGCAGACCTTAGTGAAGGCGGCCCTGGGGGCCCATCTGGCAGTCGAGGCCTGGTGGGAGCCATCGAGGACATGAGTGCGGAGGACCTCGAGAGGCTCGCGGCGGGCTTCGGCACCGGCGAGACGACGAGGCTCGTGGCCGAGGTCGGCAAGGAGACGAAGGGCGACAGCGAGTTCAGCGTCGCGATGGGCTGGGCGGAGGACGACGAGTGGGAGGCGAAGCAGTGCGAGCTAGATCGGCTCGACAACTACGACGTGCGGGAGCTCACCCTCAGGGGCCCTCACGGACCCAAGGCTCTCACATGGACATGGGTTTTGGAGGTGAGGAGTGGCGAGCTCATGGCAAGGCTTTGCGCGAGGCCATTTGGAGAGCAGACCAACAAGAGCAATGGCGAGCTGCACTGCCCCACCCCACTTTCGTTTTCACTCAAGTTGCTCATGGCGCATGCTATCGCGAAGGACTTTGCGAGTTACTTCTTCGACGTATCTCGAGCGTTTCTGTATACACCTATTCGTGAGTTGGTTTATGCTGAAGTTCCGAAGGAGTACTGCCACCTACCAGATAGTTCATATTGGGTTTTCAAGCTCAACAAGACAGTTTATGGACTCAACGAGACAATGATAGATTTCGATGGCCACTTCGAGAATATTGCTACAGGACGGAGTGATGAATCAAAGATGACTTTCAAGAGGTTTCTGTCGGATCCGTGCACGTTCGCAGACAGGGCCAATCAGGTGGCGATGTCCAAGCGCGTCGATGAAGGCACTCTGCTTGGGCCTAGTATTTCAGCCAGCGGAGTTTTGGAGAAGCTCGGCGCGCACTTTCTGATTAAGGTTTCAGAACTTACGGTTGGTGGCCCAGAGATCAAGCATCTTGGACGTGGCTGGCTCCGTGCCCCCGGGGGTATTCAAGTTCGTACGTGGCCTGCTATCGTGAAGAAGCTACTCGACTCTGAGCCCAATGATAAGAAGACGAGCCCAATACCTGGAATCAGGAATGAGAGGAAGGTCGAGAGCAAAGAGGAGTTGGACGCAAAGGTGGCCACGAGGCCCAGGGGCATCAACGGCTTCAACATGTTCGTTTGCTTGGAGAGGCCCGAGTGCCAGTACGCGGCAAAGGAGTGCTCGAGGGGGATGTCACGACCAACGGTGCAGGACCAGACGAGACTTATACGCATCATCCGGTTCATTCGAGCTCATCCGTCGTCGGTGACATGCATGTATCCTGACAGTGGCGAATTCAGGATCATAAGACGTGCAGATTCAAACTGGGCGGGCGGTCCTATCGGAAGGAAGTCTACCAGCTGTGGTCAGTTGTTTCTCCATGGAGCTTTGATCATGCAGTTTGTGAAAACACAGGGGGCTCCAGCACTCTCGTCGCCCGAAGCCGAGTTCAACGCGCTCGTGCACGTCGGTATCGAGGTGAGGGGTGCTCAGACATATCTCAAGGAGCTCCTGGGCGACACAGTGCCTGTGACGCTGGAGAGTGACAACTCTAGCGCGCTCACGAACGTCGAGAAGAAGGGAGTTGGTGGGATGCGGCATATCGAGCTGAAGGACCTGTGGATAAAGGACCTCGCCGCGCGGAAGGCGGAGACGAAGGTCAGCACCAACAAGGTCCATACCGAGGAGAATACGGCAGACACCGGGACGAAGCATCTGTGGAGGATCGATTGCATGAAGCATCTGACGGCAATGAAGGTATGGCTTACGGGAAAAGGTGAAGTTGGAGGGGTTTTGAGTTCAAGCAACGACAAGAAGGGCCAGATCGGTAAACCTGCACTGGAGCGAATGCGTGCACTTAACCAATGCTTGGTGGGTATTGGTGCGTTTCTTCAAGTGGGACGCGCAGATGCTACTGAGATAATTAAAAGTGGCTACCAGCCAGTCGCGATCTCAAGCCCTACAGATGATGAGAGCCATTCTGGCGTTTCCACAACGGTCGTGATGATGCTGCTCACCCTTTTGAACGTTATCGTGGCGAGTGCAGCTTTCAAAGCCAAGCATCACATCGACCGTATCATGCAGCCAGCACAGAAAGATGCCTCAACTCAGTACAGCCTGAAGGACACGATGAAGAATGGAGCTACGAGCAAGATCGTGGCCAATGATCTTCGGGCTATGTTCACAGCTATGACCATAGACAGTGGACGAGAGTTTCTACGGCTACGGCGGGTGGATCGGGCTATCTCGACGTATACGAAGGCGATGGTGGTCGAAGCATGCGTGGCGACCGCCCTCAACGAGATCAGGCAGGACAATATCTACAGTGTGGATGGGTTTGTCGGGATTTGGCACCCTCAGTCGCTGGCCATGCTTCGATATTGATATGTTTCCAGATTACGTGCCCGATCTTGGCATGAAGCTGCAGATGGGCCCGAGGAAGAGTGCAGGAAACAAGGTATATATCAGCGAATTGAGTGAGGATTGTTGTGCATGCGCTGTTGTAACATTTGTGTACTGTGGAGAGCCAGTTTTGGCTCAGTTCATGCTGAAGTGGAAAAGAGATTTCACCAGCCCTGTCGGGCAAGGTCCGTGGACCCCAGCTCCGCTACCCGAAATTACCGAGATAACATACACTTATTATTTCAGTACTTGCATAATAATACGAATAAGAATAACAATAATACTAATACTAATAATAATATTATCAATAATAATATTCCTAATAATAATAATCATGATACTAATGACAATAATACTAATAAAAAATAATACGAATAATAACAATAACAATAATAATAATAGTAGTAGTAGTAGTAGTAATACTAATAATACTAATAATACTCAGTGGTGTGTAACTGTATATATATAAGAAAACCTATACATCTATAGATCAGCCAAACAACAACAGCAGCAGCAACAGCAACAGCAACAACAACAACAACAACAACAGCAACAGCAACAGCAACAACAACAACAACAACAACAAAACGACACCTGGCCCTTTTGCCGGCGCCCCCAGCAACGTCCTCATCACCCGAAGGGCGATCTAATAGGTATGCATCCCACGCGCTTCATGCAACTACTCCGCACCCGACGCGGCTGATCGCAGCGCGCGTCCTCCTCCTCCTCCTCCTCCTCCTTCTCCTCCTCCTCCTCCAGCCCGAAAGAAAAGGCGCCGACCGCCGCGGGGGCTGCCCGTCCTGGATGTCAATCTCGGCGCAGGACTCGCCGCACACGTTGTTGGCGTCGCAGTAGAAGTCGGAGCACTCGGACTTGTGCGAGTTCTGCCTGCGCAGGGGGCGGCCCTCATGCCAAGTGCCTCCTCCTCCTCCTCCTCCTCCTCCTCCTCCTCCCTCCACCTCCTCCTCGTTCCTCCTCATCGCTCCTCCTCCTCGCTTCTGGCTCCTGGCTCCTGTCTCCTCGCTCCTGGCTCCTGGCTCCTGGCTCCTGGCTCCTCGCTCATACTCCTCCTCCGCCTCTTCCTCCTCCTCCTCCTCCTCCGCCTTCTCCTCCTCCTCCGTTCTCCCTCCTCCCCCCCTCCTGCCTCCCCCGTCCCCGCCGCCTCATGGACGTGAGGTAGAAGGCCGCGTTGCACCCGCACCTCGCAGGCGGGGGCGGCGCGGCGCGGACAGGGGCGCAGACAGACAGAACAGGCGCGACTCTCGTCTGCCCCGCCCGTCGCTCGGACGTCCACTTCCCTGTGCGTGCTGCTCCGCTCGGAGCGCGCCACGTGGCTTGGGGTAGCGAGAACTATACATACCCTTAGGTCGGGCCTGTCCCCCTGCAGAGGGGATATTGGACGAAACATTCACCAACATATATATATATATATATATATATATATATGGATATACAAGACTGCAGTGGCGCTTCGCGCCATGCACCTTGGTCCTTGAAGTTTGGTGTGCAGGCGGACTAGCAGGAAGGTCAAGCCGACAATTTCGCGATAACTCATTGTTGCCTTTTTTTTCTGGCATCGCTGCTATAATAATGTTATTCGTTATCCTTCCTCCATGCTTCTTGTTCCTCATGTTCGCCGTGCCCCGCGCATTCTCCCCATCCTCCTCAGCTCTTTGTGCGGAGGCTCCTCCTTGGAGAGCCTCTGGGGGCCTCACAAAAGTTGTTTCAAGCTTTCTTAAGGCCTTCTGGAGGCCTCCTGGGCGTGTTCTGGGGGCCTCTGGGGGCTTCCTCGGGCCACCCTGCCTCCAACCGCGGTCTCCCTGAACGACCGTGTCACAATTTGGAATGCTTCGGAGGGTGTGTTGGGGCCATCTTGGGCCGCCATGGGGCTCTCTGAGGGCCATCTTGGACCCCTGTTGTGCCGTTTGGGGGCTCTCTTGGACTGCCTGGAAGCCCTTTCGGATGGTTGTGGGGGGCGATTTGGGAGCCTCCCAGGCGGCTTCGGACGCCCAGAACACCGCCGTCTTGAAGCGTCGAGAAGCCGAAAAGAGGAGAACCCCAAAATAAACCAAACACCAACAGAAAATCAATGATTGTTGCCTCTTGGGGCCTTCTTGGGAGTGCTCTTGGAGGCCTCGTGGGACGTTTCGGGACGATCTTTGGGGGTATGACGGCTTCTTGGGGGTCGTCGCGGACCGTATTGGGGCTCTTTGGGATCGTTTCGGGAGCGCGCCACGCCCTGCGAGGCCCGGGGTGCCGCTTCGAGGCCCGTCCGGAAGGTTCCATAAGCCCCAAATCCTGGGAGTTCGGTTTTTTTGGGGGGGGACGGGTTTCCCCGCCCGGGCTTGCAAACGTATAGGAAGAGGAATATGTCTGTCTATACATATGTATAATAGTATTCTAGTTTATGTTTTGATTATTCTCATGTATAACTTGTTTGAAAAAATCCAACAGTCTTCAAACATACTCAAAAAATCATCCCCAGACGATGTTTTCACCATGTTTGAACATTCCCCCTGTAGAGGGACAGGTCCGACTTAAATCTATACATACCCACTTGACTACCTACCGGACCACCCCAACCTCACCCGAAGACCCGAATTTCGGGCTGGGGGGGGGGGTACAAGTTCCACAGGTGTTTTTTCAATGTTCCCCGACACCCCCCCGCTGGGAATGGAGGGCAAATTGGGCCTTCAGATTGGGTTGGGGAGGTTTGGTGGGTGGTGAGGCCACTGCTCCAGGCGTGGCCCATCCTGGGCCCAGGAGCTGTGTGTACGCCCTCCTGGCTTGTCGCCCTGCTCTTCCTGGGTGGTCCAAGATGGTCCCGGGTGGCCCAGATGTTTGGGCGCCCGCCTGGCTGAGAAAACTGCACAAATGCGAGCGATGCATAGCTGCAAGCACAACTCTCTGAGCCCGCGGCCGCGACAAGTCCAAGCAGAGCTCGAGAATGCGCCAGCATGCGGGAACATGAATTGGGCACAGAGCAGAGGAGCGCACTGCAACCAAGACACACACACAAACAACAACACCAACAACAACAACAACAACAACAACAACAACAACAACAACAACAACAATCACTTTACCCGAACGCTCAGTGTTCTCACCAGTGCCAGGGTTTTCATGCGACGCCAGCCAATACCCCCACTTTGTGGGGGTGCAGTGCAAGCTCTACCAAATATCCACACGACTCTTCGCCACCACCCACACCCAGCTTCCCGCCCTATGACGTTCGGACACTTCACTTCGTGGCCTGCGGACGACCGTGGCTACTACACTGGCGCGGAGTACACACCCACAGAAGTTGTTAAGCCTACGTTCGTACACCCACAGAAGTTGTTAAGCCTTGTTAACCCACAGAAGTTGTGAAGCCTTCCACAGAACATCTGTTGCATATGATGCATATGGTACATGATACACATGATACACATGATACGTACTCACAAGATAGTTGATCACATCTTTAGGGCAAATTCCTGAGGGATGTGGGAATACACAAGAGAGAGAGGATATGGTTGTCCCGATGGTTGTCTCGATGGTTGTCCCGATGGTTGTCCTGATGGTTGTGGTTGTCCCGATCGTTGTCCCGATGATTGTCCCGATGGTTGTCCTGATGGTTGTGCTTGTCCCGATCGTTGTCCCGATGACTGTCCCGATGATTGTCCCGATGGTTGTCCCGATGGTTGTTCCGATGGTTGTCCCGATGGTTGTCCCGATGGTTGTGAGCGATGCCGGATCCTCACGCCCCCCGCCGGCGGGAAATTTCGACAGGGATGATGGCCCTGGCAGGTGCGCAACCGTTGTCGCAGAAGTTCGAAAAAGTTGCTCGCAAAAGCCCGTTTGACAGAAATGTTTAAAAAGTGTTGGGTTTCCTACGAATCCGCAAGAGCGCGCGGGATGAGATTTTGACAATTTTTTGTTGAAAAACCATTGGTTTTTTGATGTTTTTATGTTAAAATCGCTGCGAACACTAAGGTTTTGGAAGGATTTCGTCTTGCGCGCGCGAATGTCCACTTGACCTTATTTTTTGCAAGGGATTCTTGAAATTTGATTATATTAGAACGAGAAATGTCATTTTCTATTGTTTTTTGCAAGGGAAAGCGGATTACAACAAAACAACCGGATCCTGTACACACCCCTCTTTCCTCACGAAAATGATGAAAATGTAGCTGCGGCCTAGGCGGCGCAGGGGGGGCGCGCACCAGGGGGCCCAACAATAATTATTCTTTTCTTTAGAATAAATAATGTTCAACAACAACAACAACAACAACAACAACAACAACAACAACAACAACAACAACAATTACTAGCACGTGGGGACACACCGTTCTCACCAGTGCCAGGGTTTTCATAGGAGGCGGGCAATACCCCACTTTGTGGGGGGGCCGGTTCAAGCTCTACCAAATTTCCAAACGACTCTTCGCCACCACCCACACCCAGCTTCCCGCCCTATGACGTTCGGACACTTCAATTCGTGGCATGCGGACGACCGTGGCTACTATTCAGGGCCCCGCGGCCGACGACGACGGCGTGCGCTCGCGAAGAAAAAACGAATGTGTCCCGCATGGTATTATTTGACAGGGATGATGGCCCTGGCAGGTGCGCAACCGTTGTTGCAGAAGTTCGAAAAAGTTGCTCGCAAAAGCCCGTTTGACAGAAATGATTAAAGTGTTGGGTTTCCTACGAATCCGCAAGAGCGCGCGGGATGAAATCTTGCAATTTTTGTTTTGGAATCACCATTGGTGTTTGATTGTTAAAATCGCTCTACGAAACTAAGGTTTTGGAAGGATTTCGTCTTGCGCGCGCGAATGTCCACTTTACCTTATTTTTTGCAAGGGATTCTTGAAGTTTGGATATGTTAGAACAAGAAATGTCCACTTTAGCTTATTTTTTGCAAGGGAAAACCGATCGTAACAACACAACCGGATCTGGATCACATCGTTTTACCTGAGACTTCCTCACGAAAATGATGAAAATGAGGCTGCGGCCTAGGCGCGGCGAGGGGGGCGTGCACCAGGGGGCCCAACAATAATTATTCGTTAGAAGTAATAATATTCAACAACAACAACAACAACAACAACAACAACAACAACAACAACAACAACAACAACTGGGACCTCATGTGGTCTCCTGGGGCCTCCTGGAGCCTGTTGGAGCCTCCCGTGGCATCCTGAAAAGAATCTGTGCGCACGAGTCTGGCCACCGATCGAGACATCCTCAAAATCTGGCCCACCTGGGGGGTGAAAATGAGCGCCTCGCTCGAGACATCCTCCAAATCTGCTCCGAAAGCGAAGGATGCTGGAACAGAAAACAAGCAAACCGCTTGAGACATCCCCACAGAACGGCCGCGAACGGGACCGTGAGATAACCCCTGGCGGCTCCCCTCAGGGGAGTGAAAATGAGCGCCTCGCTCGAGACATCCTCCAAATCTGCTCCGAAAGCGAAGGATGCTCGGACAGGAAACAAGCAAACCGCTTGAGACATCCCCACAGAACGGCCGCGAACGGGATCGTGAGATAACCCCTCAGCGGCCCCCCTTATGGACGTGAAAATGAGCGCCTCGCTCGAGACATCCTCCAAATCTGCTCCGAAAGCGAATGATGTTGGGACAAAAAATTATTCACTGCGTGGAGCTCCCCATATGGGCATCTATTCGCATGGACCTGTCCGCCGTGAATGTCTAGGCGCAAGAGCTTTCGAATATAAACGGGCTTCAGTTGTGACGGTCTGGTCATGAATCGAACTGCGAATGAATTGGAGTGTGAATGAGCCTCAGTAGTACGAGCGCGTCTTTGTGCATGAGCCTGGGGCCTCCTGGGGCCTCCTGAAACCTACTGGGGCTTCCTGGGGTCTCCAGGAGCCTCTTGGGGCCTCCTGGGAACTCCTAGGGAGGTTTCGTCCCCCAAGAGAGGCGCAATATATAGCAACAGACGTACATAAAACATTGCGGTTTAGAGCCACAGGAGAAGGGCAATATATAGGAACACGCGTAAAACACCAAGGACTCGGGCCCCAGGAGAGGCCCAATATATAGGAACATAAGTAAAACATGTAGGATTGTGCACACAGGAGAAGGACAACCTATAGAAACATACGTATAACATCACAGAATCGTGCTCCAGGTGAGGCCCAATCGATAGGAGCATACGTAAAACACATGGGATTGGAGCCACTCCTGTTGCCTTCTGAGGCCTCCTGCTC